TGCTACTTGGTCCCAATGGAATTTGCCATTGAGAACCTACTAGCACTAAGTTGCTAATAGGTTAGCAAGATGGTTCCGATAAACCGGCCCCAACAGTCCCCTTGATAATCGACCAATCACATTCACTTTATTCACTCGTGTAAAATCGGCACCAGAATTCAGAAATGCGACTTTTGGAACAGCCGCTTCCCTGCGACTTTAAAATAAATGATTTTGAACCCCGACGAACACACCCGTATTTGAACAGACATGTTTTAGAAATTTTCCCCTTGTCTAGAGTCATATTTTAGGTGCTTGAGTGGTTCTCTGAAGGTACTCCATGATCCTCCACAGCCCAGAAACATTGGCTGTTTGGTGCAAAGGTCTCTGACTTTTCTTTAGGTATGCAGCTCAGTTTAAAATGTTTTGATTCATTTTAAACTTGAAAAGGGTTTGTATGTACAGTGTTGCTTGTCCCATGTGACTCCGCCTCTCCGGGACGTTTGTTTCCAGGTGGTTGAACCGTTTGAGTATCTATGAGTTGCAGGTACCAGCGAATGCCGTTTCTTCTTACATGTCTGTGTTTTAAAACCCAAAGTATTCCCTAATAATGCAGCCCTGTATATGTGACCAGCACTGCTTTTTTCTGCTCGTTTCCAGTTTGGTTTGATGCATTCTAAACCCTTTTTAAATACAGAATGTAGCCATGGTAACGTTTCAGTTAATAGCCACCAGGGCGGCGCAGCTGACACTGTTCTACTCCCCTTCTGTTGCCTTTTTTTAAATCTACCAATAAGTCGGTTTAGCTTTTCTAGTGGTAGAAGAGCTCATAGCAGGGGCACATTTTCAAAACAAGAGCATCTCTTCTCTCCTCTGAAGAAAATTTTGCTCCATCGTTCCTGCTCTCTGTGTTCAGACGCAGAATTCAAGCAAAATGAATGAAAAAAGCAACAAACTTGACAGCCTCTTTAAAGAACTGCTTGTTAGTTGGAGGATTTGTCCACCATGTTTCTGTCTCCAACCGTCAGAAAACCTTTAATGATCCGAATCATCTCTGCAACGTTTTTTAAACTGCTGTTGCATCACAGCCATTCACCATCCGCTGCATCTTTCTCTGTTTTATCCAAACCCCTTCACTTCCACCAGCCGCTTCCTCCCCCACCACCTCATCCACTGACTCCACTAACACCAGCCATGCTATTAATGCCACCTTCCACGGTAAGCACATCCATCCATCCTCCTCCTCTTCAGCGCCTTCTCAGTTTATTTTCAGGTCATTTTTAGTTATTCTTTTCGTCTTTTTTTGTTTAAAGTATAAAAACTTTCACTTTAGAGTCTTCCTCTTCTTCCGCTCATCTAGATAAATGCTGATTAGTCCTTTTAGAACCTGTTAACTAGAAGAGCGAGGATATTTTAACCCCAGCAGCGTTTCATATCCCTCCCATCCCTTTAGCCTCCACCCCCACTACTAGCATGCCACTAATCATCAACACCAGCACTTTCAGCTCCTCTGGTAAGCCTTCATCTGCTTCGCTGCCCTGTTGTTTTACCATCATTGAAACATTTTTGTATCAGGACATGATTAAAACACCTTTCTGCTCCTCATTAGGTCTTAGTTTATAGTTAAAACAACCTCATTAGGGAACTATGTCTTCTACAGAAAAGCAAAGCTAAGACCTTAGAGAAACAACTTTTGTCACCTCAAAATGTGAGGAAGGTTAAATGACAAAACAATTATGGCCTCTGATAAAAAAAATGAAAAGAAAAAGTCGTCTTTTAAAGCAAAAGTTGCATCTGAAGAACGAGAGGATGTCTGATGGAACATTTTTTACACAGATAAGAACCCCAGTCGGTCTCGGCAGATGGCCGCTCACACTGAGCCTGGTTCTGCTGGAGGTTTCTTCCTGTTAAAAGGGAGTTTTTCCTCTCCACTGTCGCTACAAGCATGCTTAATGCAATCAACTCGTTTTCCTTAGATAGAATACTTTGAATCAATTTGACTGTATGATCTGGT